TCAGTATAAAGCCAATTTTTAATATTTGAGAGAGGCAGAGAGAGAGAAAAAGGCAATGTAATACTGCCCTATAGCTTTACCAGCTTCTCAAATGCCTCAGGACAGGTAATTCAGGAATCACTTTTGTGCGTTAGCCATCAAAATGAATGGATTTAAACACACACACTCACACTCTACCCTCCTCTAAAAGCAACAAGGTTGAAAGCATACCAGCTTCAAATGGAAATGATCCTTCTGGTTCAGGAAAGACAAATAAGAACTGAAGCAACAAAAAGTTATGATTTAAGGTGTGGATTACTATTTCCATCCCACAGACAGACAACTTTTAAAAAAAAAGTTTAGTTGTTCAGAACAGGGTTCCATTGTGCTAGGTTACGTACCAACAGAATAAGAGACAGCTCCTACCACTGAGCGCTTCCAGTCTAAGTCCAGGTCTACCCTTGAAACTTCTGCTGCTATAGTAATTTTGGTTGAGGAGTTGGACTTCTTCTACACCAGCAAAAGCGCTGAACTGACAAAAATACTTTTATACAAATACAATTGTGTGTCTACCCCAGGTCTTTTGCTGGTGTAGAAGAAGTCCAACTCCTTAACCAAAATGCTCAGAGAACAAGGATATGCTTAACAATTTTGCTCAGAGAACTATGATACACTATACAGGCAAAAACACATTTGTGTCACTATAAGCTGCATCTACACTGGCAGGTTTTGCCAGTATAGCTAAGTGTAGACTCGGTCTTAACATTTAAATCTAACTCCCCTCTATGCCTGGCTCCTTCCCCATGCCTCTGAAATCTGCGTCCAATTACTGGTGAGATCTATTATTCCACTCACACCATCAAGCAGTAAAAAACTCAGCAAAACTATTAAATGATGGGCAGTGAGTTCTGAATTGCTCCATTAATTTATAAATGGTGATTTACTCTCCAGGCCAAAATAGCACAGCACTGGGACCTGTTAGCAAATAACTTCACAATTGCCCACAATTAAAACAGAATCTCAGTTACAGTTACTCTAGTTTATACTTCCTCTCAGGCTGAGTAACAGCAGTTTAATAGTCCTGAAAGAATTCAGACACCTCAGAGGCTCTTCCACAGCCATCTGTGACTAACTATAATGAGAATCTCCAGACAATCAATCAGCCACAGGGACCAACAACAAAATGTGGTAAAGTTTCAACAAAATGTGGTAAAGTTTCACCTTATTACCCAGTTTCCAGTGCTCAGACACACTGATATTTTTGACCTCACCACTGTACAGAGAATTATGAAGAACATTTAAAATTTCAAGGTCTCTTTCCTCTCAGAGATGCTGCTCTCTTCTGAACTAAGATTTAGATTTTAACCATGTAACCGTTAAAAATCCTAGCTGTTACAATCACTGTGGGCTCTGCAGTGTAAACTTTATAAAGTTTATGCTGCAGATCCTGTAGTGCAGCTGGCCCCCCAGAAGCAGAGGGGAGGAAGAGCCAGTATATGCCTGGAGCCAGTACGCTCCCAACCCCACTTCTGGAGAGCCACCTGTGCTGCAGGCTCTGGCATGCACCAGTGAAAAGTGTAACTGTAAGGGAAACCAATAAGCTGATGCTTGTTAACCTGGTTACACTCTTACATCCCTAGTTCTAGATACGGATACAAATTCTGTATCTACAGAAATAAGCCACAGATACACAGGGATACCTGCAGATTTGCAGGACTCTACACATGGAAGCAGGCCTGGGTCCCTAAAAACATCCACAGCTCCAGTTGTTTGGCAAATGTAGTAGAAAGGGTGGCGTGGGATGAAGGTGTTTTGCATGACAAAGACAGATTACGGTAATGTGTGAAAAAAAAATATCCCATTTGTAGCCCAAATTTAGCTTCAAGAATAAAAAGGCAGGAAGGCATTACCAAGATAAGATGTGTTAACAGAAGGTCTTAATTGCTTACCTGCTTCACAGAATGATTGCAGGAATTACCTAGTAGTTTTCCTCTCCACTGCATTTTATACGTAAGTCCTAAAGTACAGGTTGGACCTCGCTGGTCCGGCACCCTCTGGACCTGACCAGTCTCAAACAAGGGGATTTGCTGGACCAAGAAAGGTTTCTCCCCTCGTGAGCACCGCCACCAGGCTAGAGTTCCAGCCTGCCTCTGCTGCTGCCCCAGCCCCGCAGGGCTCTCTCTGGCTCTGCTGCTGCCACTGAGGCCAGAGTGCCACAGCCAGAGCTCCACGGCTGTCTGTCTCTGCAGCAGAGGAACATAGACAGAGCTCCATGGCCCAGGCCAGAGCTCCCTGGCTGCCACTGGGGCTGGTGTTCCCCGGCCGCTGGAGCCAGAACACAGCCAGAGCTCTGCAAAGCTAGAGCTTCCCAGCCGCTGGAGCCAGAACTCCCCACCATGGCCTCTCTCTCTCTCTCTCTCTCTCTGTCTCCCTCCTTCCCCTCCCCCTCCTTATGGCACTCCTGTCCCACCACCAGACCACCCTCTTCCTGGGCTCTGTGGTCCAGGAATATCCATTGTCCATGTTGGACCACGGATGTTGCCAGACCAGGGAGTTCCGGTTAAGGGAGGTACAACCTGTATTATTAAAACCCTAATACTCTCTGGGCCAGAATGGTGGTTCACTGGTTCTCAACTAATTTAGAGTGAACACATTTCATTGTACTTTGAAATGAATTTGGTGTTCTTGAAAATGAACAGCTTGACAGCACTGGAGGTAAAAGTTCTATTTATCCACAGACTACAGCATAGACAACAGCACAAGCTTCTTCCACATTATACCCTGCCAATGTGCTGAATCCTGACTAGGGATGCTAAATATTATTTAACCTAATAGTCGTGTGACCACATGAAATCTTAGTGGTTACATGACTATTCAGCCAGTGCACTCCCGACCCCACTCCCAGGCAGCCCCCTGCCTCTGATACAAAGGCAACAGCACAGGGTGGCAGCAGCCCCTGTCCATGAGGGATCCGAGCTTCGAGGAACAGAGGCTGCTCAATGGGATGCAGAGCAGCCCCTGTCCATGGGGACCTCGGACCCCCCATGGATAGGGGCTGCTACCGCAAAGCAGCAAAGCAGCCTCTAACCACGGTGGGCCCAGGCTCACTGTGGATGGGCTGCTCCATGGGATGCAGATAAGGGGCGGAGGGAATGCATATAGTCAACAAGATTAACTGATAAGCCTAGGTTTATCGGTTAATTGTGTAGTCATCTACACAATGACATCCCTAATCCTAACATATGGAGGTCTTCAGTCTTTGGCCTCTCAAGGAATTACTAGTATCTGTGACATATAGCTATGTCCACTAGGAGATGGACTAGGACTCACCAGCTCATTTTATTTGATATGTTGGTTGCTGAAAGGCTGTGAAAAGGTAAATTTTGGCCACTACTGATATAGGAGATAAGAGGAGCTAGAGTCACATCTTTTCAACACGATCAGGCTTTGTTGACACTTACAAATTGAAAGCACCACCAGGGCAGCAAGTTAAACAAAGTGTGGCCACAGAATGAGCACTGAGTGCTCTATGTAAGCCACCTCCAGGAGGGAATTAGCTAACAGTGCTGTAGCCTGGTTCACATTGCACTTGCCATGCTGGGAGGGGATGGGGTGTTTTTCCACACCCCAGAGCCAGAAAGTTACACCACTGTAAAGTGCCAGCATAGACTTAGTGTTGGTCTCATCTCTATTGGGGCAGCAGAGGCCAAGTACAAATTCCTTCACATTTTCCTGGCAGACACATACCTCATTTCATTCATACCTACATCAACTCCAGCCCAGACGACAGCAATCCACTCTATCTAGAGCTACTCTGTAGAACAGCATAGTTAGTTCCTATGGAAGAGCTCTGAATAATTTGAAAGTTTGTCTCGCTCATCAACAATCACCCACCTTGTCTCTTTCATATCCTGGGACCGACAAGGCCACAACAGCACTGCATGATTTTATTTTGTCGGGCATGACAATTTCTGTACCATAAAACTATTAAGTAATGGGATATACCACTTTCATAATTTTATGATTTTCATCTTTAAAAAACCCTCTTTCATTGAAGTTTACATTATGTGTTAAAAATCTATTTTTAGCCCTCTTGGTTGACAAGAAAAAAAGGAGTTGCTGTGACTTTGAAAGCTCTCAAAAATAGCTCTCAACACCTCCAAATTTTGGGAAAGATTGGATTAAACTTTGTAACCCCAAGTTCACTTAGTTCATGGTAGGATGAGACAGAAATTATCAGCCCTTTCCTTTATTTTAGTGAGCTTGTATTTCCACGTGGGTTTTAAAGCTTTGAGATGCATTTATCAAGCCACGTGAGACATTTACTATAATAGAATGACAGCAGTTGCTCCAGACCCTACAAGCCCTATTTTTCCATACCTCTACTGTCTGCAAATAGAGACTGACAGTTTCAAAAATCACATGTCAATCTCCAAAGCTGAAGAATAATTTTTCTACCAAGTTTCATGCAAAATTAGACAGGTGATTTTAAAGCCACAGACCCCGCAAAAAATCAGTAGGTGGACTCAGTAAAATTGAATTGTTTCCAGCTAGCAATACTCCACTATGCTCATTCCACAAGACACAATCATCCATGGGATACAAAGAAAATCCCACTGAACTGTATAAATAAGAGTCCTTATGTGGACTTATGGGTTGCACAGACAAAATTAGTTTTGTTTGAAAGGGTTCTGTAATATTCTCAGTTCCTCCTAGCATCTCCTTACATCCAAGAGGGGGCACAGCTAAGTTCTATGGCTTTTTGCATGGGAAGTATCACCTTAATTTTGCATTTCACAATTATCCAATATTTAACTGTGCATTTTTAATTGTAAGCCCAAAACTCTTACGAGGTGCGTGAGGACACCTTAACTGCACATTCTCTGCTCTTCCAAAGCAAGTTTGAAAAATTAAAATTATGTGTACACGATGAGCACAAGCAGCGGCAGATATAGGGCAGGGCGAGCAGGGCAGCTGTCCCAGGCCCTGCGCTTCAATATGCCTTGCGCACGTGCTATTACCTGTTGGCTGTGGCAGTGGTGCATGCGCAAAATCGTGCTGCACCAGATCCCATGCTTCAATAGGCCCCGAGCCCTGGGCCCCGCAAAACTCTCATCCACACCTGAGCACAAGGACCATAGAGAAGTATTTTGCTATTGCAACCCCAATTCCATGTTAACCAAGTTTTTGAGCATGAATCTAAGATTCAATCAGGCTACATGAAGTATAACAACCTCATTTTACAGGTCTGCCCCCGAGCATGATCCTATATATCAGTGGTCCCCAACCTTTTGGGGCTGCCGGGCGCCTGGGGGCAGGGCTGCACACGCGCCAGGCACGTGGGAGTGGGGCTAACCATACGCTGCGTGCCCGGTGCTGGTGCCACCCATGTGCTGCACTCCCGGGGCCAGCGCCGCTCCTGTGCCACACGCCAGGAGCTGGCATCACCCACGCGCTGCGCGCCTCGGGCCGGCACCGCTCCTGCACTGCATGCCCAGGGGCCAGCACCACCCATGCGCCGCACTCCTGGGGCAAGTGCCACTCCTGTGCCGCATGCCCAGGAGCCAACAGCGCCCATGTGCTACGCGCCCGGGGCTAGCACAGCCCATGTGCCGCGTGCCCAGAGGCGGGGTCGCCCATGTGCCGCGCGCCCAGGGGCCAGCACCCACCCATACGCCACACGCCAAGGGCTGGCACAGCCCTTGTGCCATGCACCTAGGGGTGGGGCCACCCATACGCTGCATGCCCAGGGGCTGGCACCGCCCATGCACCACGTGCCCGGGGGTAGGGCTGGCACCGATCACTTGGCGGGCGCACAGAAATGGCCCAGCAGGCGCCATGGCACCTGCGGGCACCATGCTGGGGACCACTGCTATGTATGTTAGTCTCTAAGGTGCCACAGGACTACACAAGCAATATGTTTGTTAACACATATGCAGTACAGTACAGGCTGAGATTTATTCCTGGTGTTCTGATTGATTACAATTTTAATACTGTCAGTAACAAAACCACACAAAGCTTTAGTTACATGTAGCCTTACATCAGGCAGCCACTTAAAGAAGCTTTAGCACTTGGTAAGAGCATTATACTGAGATCAAAGACTTGTCAGTAAGTCTCCCTGTAAGTAAGGAGAGGAAGACATAGCAGAGTTCTCTACTCAGCTCTTTTGTTACTGTTTGTGTCTAAAGTAAGTATCCTTCCACCCAGCCAGTTTACATCATCATACAAAGGGTTCTACCTCTTCACTAGACACAGCCACGTGTCCTCAATACTCTCTATCAAGATCCGCAACACCCCCTTTAGAAAACCTCATTACATAACATTTGGGGGGACAACTAATGAAAAGTGGGCAGGGTGCAGGTCCAAGGTTTAATACAAGGGGATCAGAAAGCACACAGAGCAGAGAACCCCAGACACACTCCTCAAAGCTGTCTAGAGAGCCAACAGTTGCCACCCAAAGGAACTCTGGAAGCGTGAGTGCAGGGAGGAGCAAAAATAGGCTCCAGAGTCACAAAGCACCCCTTTCCCAGCAGCCCCCTCTTGGTGTTATTAACAATGGCCTTGGCCAGGGCCAGGAGGAGGCTGACCAGGAGGTCCTGCAATTTCATGGGGCCACAGGTAGGGTATGCCTAAAGAAAGAGACCCAGGGAAAAGTTTAGCCAGAACCTTATCAGGTGGTACTGGAGGAACCAGAAAAGGGGCTCCAACTGGCACACCCAACGTAGGCACGTGCTAGGTTCTCCCTCATGCCACAAAAGGAGGCAGGCATCAGGAACAGGGGTGAACCACATCAGGAACATGCTCAAGGCTCCATTAAGGAGCCACTGACCGCTGTCCCGAGCAGGCTGTAGGACCAGTGTAGTACAGAGACTGGCCCACTGGGGTTCCTCACTCTCCGCTGGTTACACAACCTTATAGTTGGAAGAACCTCCAACTTCCCATGCACTTCCCTCTCACGGCTAGCACCTTCCCCAGGTATCCTGTCCCCACATCCTACTCTGTGACTTGTTTCATTCCAGCCAGGTAAGCTGATAAGCTCTTTGGGGCAGGGACCTCGCCTAGCTTCTGCAGAGCGCCAGACACCTTTATGTTACATGCCTGCGCTTCAGGGAGTGCTGCCCCACTGCCTACCTGGGCACTAGGACGAGTCAGGGGACGCGCCCCCCAGACGAGTCAGGCCAGGCCGGGATTTAGCGTTTGTCTGGGGCTGCACCCGGGGGCTGCAAGGGAATAACGTCCCTGAGCAACGGGGCATCAGCTGGGCCGGGGGAGGAGCAGCCACCCCCTGCACCCAAACCTCCCCCAGCCTGCCCGCT